AGTTTATATAAATACAATTGCAATCATAAGACTAAATGTTAAAAGTAAACTAGTTTGTTAAATATATAAACCTATTAAAATATTTTAAACTGTTACAAAACCACAATTATAACTAGATGTATATTTTATGGTATAACGGAAACCCGAAGAATCACAATAGTTTGCTAAAATGGTTTTGTAACTGCGCTGTCAAATCTTCTAAAACCAATGATATATTATATAAACTAGATGTCTAACTTGCGAGATTTTATTGGACAAAAAATTTAGCCGCATTTTTTTGTTTGTAACAACGGTCCGTCGATTACGCCTAAAAACTTGATTGAGTATTCTCGTTTAAGTTTAGTTTTATCAATTAGTAAACCAGGTAGTTTTAAGGGAAGAGTTTCAGATAAAAGTTAAAAATGCAAGTTAAGATAATTCAAAAACAAGTTTTGATAATTATAAGTTACTTTATATGAGCAATGTTTATTAAAAAGTATTTTAATTCATAAAAATGCTTCAAAAGCGTATGTCGTTTTAATTTGCTATTCAAAACTTTATTCCCTTTTAATCGAAAATAAATTAAGGAATTTTTTTTTTTTTTTTTTTTTTTTTTTATAATTTAGCCGTACAAATATTTACAAGTTCCGTAATTTAAAATATTTAAAAATGGCAAGGACGAGAAGAAGACGGGGTTGTCTTATCACCAAGTCCCTTGTTTGTCTAGACATTTATATAAATACATGGTAACTAAAATGAAAATTAAAAAATTAAGAAAAATAAAAATATTACAAAGAAGTTTATATAAAATGCCAAATAGTTTAATAGTTCAAAGTTTTGAAAGATATTTTTTCGATTTTATTTTTTGAAAGAAAAATTTAAAAGTTCATTCAGAAAAACAAAAATATCAAAAAACTAAAAAACATGAAAAAAGTAAACGTAAAATTTAATTTACAATCTGTTCTTATAAAGTGTAATATATTAATTCCTCAAAAACAAATTACAAAATATTAATATAAAAAATTAAATCATAAGGAATCATAAGTTAATATTTTACTAGTATTCTAATTTCCACTTAACCTTTTTACAAAAATAAATAGTATTTAAATTTAAAATATATTTACTTCATTTAAAAAAAAAAGTTAAAAATATTTGTTTACAAATTAAATCCGCCATTTGTAAAAAGGGCAAAAAGCGGCTTCACTTTTCGGATCGAAATTAGACATCTAGTTTATATAGTATACTGTTTAAAACATATTGAAAATCTGTGAGCCAAATCTGATGTACGCAATAGTTTTTTGTGAAAAACGAAAAAAAATTCAGTGAGAAGAAACATTTTGCATATAAATGTGAGTAAAAATTGTGGAACCAAAATGAAAAATAAGGCGTAGTACCCTTAATAAATAAGCCAACTCGAGTAACTCTCCAAACCGCTACCCTAATCAATAACATATTTACAAATAATACCATAAAATGTAACATTCAAAGCGGAACAATAAAATCTGACATAAGTGATCATTTTCCAGTATTTCTTCTACTTAACAATTTTAACAATAAAAAGAAAACAATGCAATGACTATAAAAAATAAAGAGAAATAAATGAAAGTTATATAACCAAGTTCCGAAGCAACTTATCAATTTAAAACTGGAATTAGATAGTTAATTGAAAAATAATATCACAGCTCACGATATTTTTAAACATACTTTTACAAGTTTGAACGAAAAAAGCGTTTCCAAAACTTGAACATTTGAGTAAACTCAAAAACCTTAAATGCCCTTGGATGACAAAAAATGACAAAAAAATGACAAAACGGTATATTAAATCTTATTAACTATTTTATAAAAATTAGGAGAAAACTTGCTAATAAAAAACTTGCTAATAAAAAACTTGCTAATAAAAAACTTGCTAATAAAAAACTTGCTAATAAAAAACTTGCTAATAAAAAACTTGCTAATAAAAAATTTGCTAATAAAAAACTTGCTAATAAAAAACTTGCTAATAAAAAACTTGCTAATAAAAAACTTGCTAATAAAAAACTTGCTAATAAAAAACTTGCTAATAAAAAACTTGCTAATAAAAAATTTGCTAATAAAAAACTTACTAATAAAAAACTTGCTAATAAAAAATTTGCTAATAAAAAACTTGCTAATAAAAAACTTGCTAATAAAAAACTTGCTAATAAAAAACTTGCTAATAAAAAACTTGCTAATAAAAAACTTGCTAATAAAAAACTTGCTAATAAAAAACTTGCTAATAAAAAACTTGCTAATAAAAAATTTGCTAATAAAAAACTTGCTAATAAAAAACTTGCTAATAAAAAACTTGCTAATAAAAAACTTGCTAATAAAAAATTTGCTAATAAAAAACTTGCTAATAAAAAACTTGCTAATAAAAAACTTGCTAATAAAAAACTTGCTAATAAAAAACTTGCTAATAAAAAACTTGCTAATAAAAAATTTGCTAATAAAAAACTTGCTAATAAAAAACTTGCTAATAAAAAATTTGCTAATAAAAAACTTGCTAATAAAAAACTTGCTAATAAAAAACTTGCTAATAAAAAACTTGCTAATAAAAAACTTGCTAATAAAAAACTTGCTAATAAAAAACTTGCTAATAAAAAACTTGCTAATAAAAAACTTGCTAATAAAAAACTTGCTAATAAAAAATTTGCTAATAAAAAACTTGCTAATAAAAAACTTGCTAATAAAAAACTTGCTAATAAAAAACTTGCTAATAAAAAACTTGCTAATAAAAAACTTGCTAATAAAAAATTTGCTAATAAAAAACTTACTAATAAAAAACTTGCTAATAAAAAATTTGCTAATAAAAAACTTGCTAATAAAAAACTTGCTAATAAAAAACTTGCTAATAAAAAACTTGCTAATAAAAAACTTGCTAATAAAAAACTTGCTAATAAAAAACTTGCTAATAAAAAACTTGCTAATAAAAAACTTGCTAATAAAAAATTTGCTAATAAAAAACTTGCTAATAAAAAACTTGCTAATAAAAAACTTGCTAATAAAAAACTTGCTAATAAAAAATTTGCTAATAAAAAACTTGCTAATAAAAAACTTGCTAATAAAAAACTTGCTAATAAAAAACTTGCTAATAAAAAACTTGCTAATAAAAAACTTGCTAATAAAAAATTTGCTAATAAAAAACTTGCTAATAAAAAACTTGCTAATAAAAAATTTGCTAATAAAAAACTTGCTAATAAAAAACTTGCTAATAAAAAACTTGCTAATAAAAAACTTGCTAATAAAAAACTTGCTAATAAAAAACTTGCTAATAAAAAACTTGCTAATAAAAAACTTGCTAATAAAAAACTTGCTAATAAAAAACTTGCTAATAAAAAACTTGCTAATAAAAAACTTGCTAATAAAAAACTTGCTAATAAAAAACTTGCTAATAAAAAACTTGCTAATAAAAAACTTGCTAATAAAAAACTTGCTAATAAAAAACTTGCTAATAAAAAACTTGCTAATAAAAAACTTGCTAATAAAAAACTTGCTAATAAAAAACTTGCTAATAAAAAACTTGCTAATAAAAAACTTGCTAATAAAAAACTTGCTAATAAAAAACTTGCTAATAAAAAACTTGCTAATAAAAAACTTGCTAATAAAAAACTTGCTAATAAAAAACTTGCTAATAAAAAACTTGCTAATAAAAAACTTGCTAATAAAAAACTTGCTAATAAAAAACTTGCTAATAAAAAACTTGCTAATAAAAAACTTGCTAATAAAAAACTTGCTAATAAAAAACTTGCTAATAAAAAACTTGCTAATAAAAAACTTGCTAATAAAAAACTTGCTAATAAAAAACTTGCTAATAAAAAACTTGCTAATAAAAAACTTGCTAATAAAAAACTTGCTAATAAAAGTTCGACTAGCTAATAAAAGTTCAAGCTCGACTTCAACTTTTCATTGCAACCAATACCCAGTGCGGAAAAAGATATCTTTAGACGAATAAAATGTATTTATATAATCAGCCAAAATAAAGACGTGGAAAGACGTCTTTTAAAAAGACATCTTTAAAAAAGAGGTCGAAAAGATGTAAATCGGTTGTTGATATTTAATATTTCATTATTTGCTTAAGAAAATTAAAAATAATTAATGCCTATAGAACCTAACAAAAATGGATTTTAACCCACAGTATCGTAATTACGATATTTTTGTTAGGTTCTGATTGGCCTGTTTTTTGCTTACAAAATACTTTTATATAACTTTTACGTGAAACGTTTTTGCATAGGAAATTTAATTAAAAATTAACTTCTTTTGGTAAGCGGGTTTATTTAATAATTTATATAGTAAAGTGATATATACTATGTAAAATATACATAATATATTGCATATATATATATATATATATATATATATATATATATATATATATATATATATATATATATATATATATATATATATATACTGAAATAAATATACAATTGCTTCTGTTTAGCTAAAAAATGTTAATCGGAAGAAGCAAAAGTGGATGGCGTGGTGCCAGTAAGATGGTATCGATATGATCTAGTCTCAATTAAGTTAGTCGCAGGTAAGTGTTTTGAAAAATTTTTACTGTTTATTTTTAGGCTAGTTTTTTAATGTATTGTGCTTGAAGAACGTTGTTTATTACATATTAAATTAAAATATTTATTTTCAGACGAAAATTAAAACCTACAAACAATTCCTCTCTATATTTACTTGTTCAAGTGCCAGTGAAACGAACGATAGAAAAAAAGAAGCATTCAGTAGGCTTGCAATATTTTTTTAATATATTTTTAAATGATCTGAATAATTTTGTTGTTTTTATTTAGTTGAATAACAAAATTGTTTATACAAAAGATTGGCTTTTTAGCTTTTATGTTAAATATGTTATTTTTTTGTTAACTTTTGTCTGTCAATAACAAAGCAATTATAAAAATACACATAATGACAACAGATTTACCTTTAGAACTGTTCGCAAAATTTTTGGTTTGGATACAAAAAACCAAGTGAAAATGATGCTGGAAAGGTACACTTTCTTATATCTAAACATCATTGCAGCTTTCTAATCTTCATTTTTATTTATGTGTATTTCATCTGTGTTGCTAATGATATCGTCAGTTTTTATGATTTTATGGTGTTAAGTAAAGCATCCTTTTGTTTCAGGCTAAAATAGAGCTTTGACAAATACTTTTTCTAGTTTAAATGAATAACAACTCTCAAGGTGTATTAGCTAAATTATCTTTTTGTTTTGATAGTCTTTAGTCAATAACAGATTTTTAAATTGTTACGAGTCTACAACACTTAAATTCAGCGAAATTCAATTAAAAAAATCATGTTATAGAAGACAAAAAAATATCAATATTTGTTTTCAATAACGTGGCTTTGATAGCAAATCTGAGAGGTGCAAATGTTTAGCTTGATTTAAGTACTACATAATAAAATACATTGTTGAATAGTCATTTTGATGGTTGTAAATTTATTTAGCACACTCATTTTTATATACTTTTAGATTGTTTACCGTTAAACTCCTGTCCCTATCTAACCTAGTGGGTTCAAAAAGAAGGGACCGCGCTGGAAACATGAGTGGATTAAAAGTATCAGCCTTTTTTGAATTAATAGTCGGTAAGTATAATGTGCTCCACTCAGCTAATCAAGTTTCATTTGCTTTTTTTGTATTACATTTAAGCAATAGACTATTTTTCATGTTCATTTGTTTTTTAGAAGTGGTAACCAGCTAGAAGTCGTAACCTGCTCGTATGAAAGGATTTCTCGACGTGAAATTGTTAATTTTATTCAACAACGCCAAGAAACAGAGCTCGCTCAAGAAACAGAAAAGAAAGAGATGAAAAAATATTCTGTTGAATAATACTATTGTTTTATTCATAAATTATTCTCCTATATTTAAACATATAAAAGATGTAGAAAATGTCATACTTTGTATGAAGAGCTATTATCATTTTCAATTGAAAAAAGTAGTTTTTCATATAGAAAAAGTAGGAATACAATAGTGTTTAGGATACTATAGTATATTAATAAGTAAGGCCAGTGGCGGACTGGCTGTATATATACTACCGGCCATGAAAATAATTAAAGGGCCCTCCCGGCCATACATATATCGCAAAGACTGTCCGGTCCGCAACTCTCTAAAAATGAGTCTTAAGAGGAGCAATTAAATCACAGATTAATAAAATTATATTGAATTAAAAAAGTAGAAGTGATGTGCAATTTGCACAGTGCAAAGTATAGCAATAACTATTCTTTAAATAGTTTGCTTAATACAGAGGACGAAGATGCATATCTTTGAATGATCGTATCATACTCAAGGCTATCAAGTAGATTTTTTTCTACAGACATCAACATATACGACTCTAAGTGGTCATTTGACATAGAGCTACGCAATCTTGTCTTGATTAACTTTAACTTACAGAAATAGTACATATTATTTTATAAATAAGATACAAATTGTCATAGGTTTTGTCGTTGAGTCTATATGCAGCAAGAATTCGTAACACACAAGATGGACACAATCCGCATGCTCCATTTGTATGCTGATAACAGAGCGGTTCTTCTATTTCATCCTTTTGATATGCATTCTCTCTCAATGTTGTTGTTAAAGGCAAGGACAATTTCAAAATCTCATAGTTAGTGACAAATGATAACAATTCGGCCTTTATTTTATCAACGTCGGCATCTGGTAAAAATTTGATAATGCTGTGTAAACTGTTTTCAGGAATTCCCGAAACGGCAAGATCACCAAAGTTTGATGTATCAAAACATGCCATGTCCATATATAATTGTCGGTGTGAAACAAAACGCGACTCAAGACTTTGGACTACCTGATCCATCATCACATTGTAAGTGTGAATTTTGTAGTGTTCCAAAGCTTTAGATTCGTCACGTTTGTCTACTGTATGTTCATCTAACATCGTTGGTGTCTTCCGCTTCCGTTTAGCTGGTAGTTCTATCTTTACCTCTAATATGGTTTCAGTTCTCTGAATGATGCTTGCATTTGCCATCCGTACAAATTGAAGAGCGTTATTATGAACATCATCAAAAAGTCTTGATTGACTTTTCAATTCAATTACGGCCTTCTCCACCATCTTGAATGCAACCAACACATTTAATCCACGAGAATTTCAGGAATGGCATTAGCAATGTCTTAGCTTCATGACGTGTCTTTGTATCAAAATTTTCTGATTCGCTTATACATGACAGACATAAAATTAAATTGACAAACACTGTTGAAGATGTCTCAGCAAATGTTCCAAATATCGCTGTTGCATCATTTGATTTACCCGACCACCTTGTTTCACCAATCAATTTCAATCTTTTCATCTTATCCATTCCAATTTGTGTTTCAACAAGTTTAATCCATGTTGCCATTTGCTTATATGACACTTTTATGAATGTTGAAACATTTTGCAAAAGGGTAAAAAATGAAACTGCCTGAATGCAGCAACTGGTTGCCTCCTTCACAACTAAGTTGAGAACATGAGCATAACACCAAATATGTACATGGTGGTCTGCAGCCTCTGTAATCTTTTGTTGCAGTCCATTGTACTGGCCATGATAACTTGAAGCGCCATCAGTGCTGTCCGATAGGCAGTATTTCAAGTTAAAGCCAAGCCGCTGTAGCGTCAAATTTAAGAGATCGAACAAGCCTTGACCAGTACCGTCATTGCTTGGTACAATAGAAAGCAGCCGTTCATGCACAGTAGAATCTAAAACATAGCGAACCACAATGCTGAATTGGTCAGTTGCAGATATATCTTGTGTAGAATCAACTTGTACGGAGTACACTTTTGCTTTGGATACTTCCATTGCAATCTGTTCCTGCATCATATTTTTTAAAATAATATTGAGAAGTTTTGATATAGTAGTCTTACTTAAAAACGTAACCAGAGCATCGCGACCTTTACTGCCGACTTTACCTTGACGCTTTAGTTTTTCTATTCTTTTGGTTGATTTCTCTTGACACATGGAGATATGAGAAGCTAAAAGTGGGTCATATTTGGCCAAGAGCTGTACCAAAGCCAAAAAATTTCCATGATTTTCTTCATCATTGTCCAACGAATAAGCACCTTCATTCCTATGACCTCGAAATGACAATCTTTGCATACATAAATGTTTAATGATACCAATAACTCGAGAAAGTATTTGTTTCCGTATCAGTACTTCATCATTATATTTCTTTATTGCTGTACAATAAAATCTGTCAAAGTCTTGATTATTCATTATACGAATGTAATCAAGAACATGCCTGCGGTGAGTGCTGCTTGATTCGTGTTCTGCAACCCGTTGGCTAACTCGTCTAAAATCTTCGAAGCCAGACACAAATGATGAAACGGTGTTAGACTGTGGTGATTCAAATGCAATACAAAATGAGCAATATAGAGACAGAGAATTTTGGCTAAATGACAACCAATTTCTCGGTATGCTATCCTTCAAGTCCGTTTGTCTGAGGTAGATCTTGTTATCAAACGGCAAATGTTCATGTGGTTGAATTGGATGTTTGCTAAAAAAACATTTTTACTGCAAACGTGGTGGATATTCAAATGCTGATGTACTCTGCGAATTCGACTCAATATCTCCACCACCTCGAGCTTGTATTATTGCTGATGTACTCTTCAAATTCAACTCAATATCTCGACTACCTTTTGCTTGTATAACTCCTGATGTACTCTGTAAATTTGACTCAAGATCTCGACTACCTAGTGCTTGTATTATTGCAGATGTACTCTGCGAATGTGATTCAATATCTCCACCACCTCGCGCTAGTATTATTGCTGATGTACTCTTCAAATTCGACTCAATGTCTCGACTACCATTTGCTTGTATAATTCCTGATGTACTCTGTAAATTTGACTCAAGATCTTTACCACCTCGTGCTTTAATTATCTCTGATGTAATTTGTACATTCGACTCAATATTGCCTTGACATTGTGGTTGTACTGACAAAAATGATGTGATTAACTTGCACTTTTTTGCAGAAACTTCTATCTCTGTCTGTAGTTTTTCTTTGCGCTTTTGTGCTCCAGATTTTGACATGATGATAGTGACCTGAGTTAAGATTTTAACATTTAGAAAATAAAGCAAAAATAAAGATCGTCTCTATTTAGAAAAAATGATATTTAGATCTCCCCAAATAAATTTTGTCCGATCAAATTTGTTTGAACGGCAAAAATTGCAAATCAAACATATTAAAACTCAAATAAAGACAGGCCACTAATGACAGATTTTTGGTAAAGAAAGGGGGGCAATGACTCCTTAGCCACGGCACTAATTCCGGTATATTTTAGAATCTTAACTATAGCTATAATTTCCAGATCTGTGAAATTCTTGTATTCTTCTTTTATATTATGACTTTGCTTACTGCTGGAATTATTTAAACTATTGCATTTAAACATTAGAAAATTCGTTATAGATGAATTTTCTATTGTATTCCTTGAAGGAAATAGAAGGAAAAGAGTAGCAACTACCAACTTATCCTTTTTTTTAGTACTTTAACTTGATAGGTGAAGAACATTACGATTATTAATGAAAAAAAAACATGTTTTTAAAAAATAAAATTTTATAACAGTTCTTACTCTCTTGATCTATAATCATGTTTAAATTAATGAATTTTTAAATTTTGTTTATAATTTTTTAACAATTTGAAGCGACAGAACGAAATCCTAAAGAATTTCAAATATAGACTTAATAAAAATCTAAAATTCTGTTTAAGCAAAAAAGATATATACATATTTTTTTCTTTCAACACAAACAGAAGTAGCTGTATTAAAAAATACCTTTTCATGTATTTTATCTCATCCTAAGTTATACATTGTCAAAGTTTAGGATTTTGCGAAAATTTCCGATTTAAGTTTTACTAATTTGCCCTAATAGGGCAAATTAGTAAAACTTTATTCGGAAACCAGCATAGTTAAACTACGCTGAGGTACTTTAAGCTGACTAACACAAAAAGTCTTATTTATGTGTTGCATAAACAGTAATGCTTATAAAAAGTTACAGAAAACTTGATCATCCGGAAATTTATTTAATCCTCTACCTTTCAAATCTTATCATTTCAGCCGATTAGTATGATCAATGATCACCTTTAAATAATTATTTCGAGCGCGGAAGTTAACTAAAAGTTTTAAGTTAAAAAAAGATAATAAATTTTATACAAACTAAAATACCAACCTCAAAAGAAGACTAACATCGCTTCAGTAAACTGGTTGATCAAGTGTGTTTTTGTGTTGAACAATTATTTTTTTATTTTTGAAATGAATATTTAATTCATTTTTTAATTAATTCAATCACCGCAATTGCAATAATAGTTACAAAGCCAATTCCCTTAGGAAAATCATTGATTATATTTGTATCTGAAAATCATTAACAATTGCAAAACCTTACCAATTCCCTTATGACAATTATATGTAAAACTCTTCTTCGACAATTAATAACGAATGTAAAGTTTTACGATCATTATTGATTGTCAAAGGAGAGTTTTAGATGAAATTAGTTTTATAGTAAAACTATTTCTTTAGAGAATTTTGCACATAATAGAGTTGAATAGTATATACAAGAAATTAAAAATAGTTTAACTTTATAATTAATTGTTAAATATATATATATATATATATATATATATATATATATATATATATATATATATATATATATATATATATATATATATATATATATATATATATATATATATATATATAAATATATATATATATATATATATAAAATATATATATATATATATATATATATATATATATATATATATATATATATATATATATATATATATTACCTAATATATATATATATATATATATATATATATATA